CAGTCAATTATCGCCGGAATCTTTTAATTCAATGTTAAAATGGAAGCGAATTTGTAAACTATTGTTTGAATTAATACAAAGGCATGTGGGATGTGGATGAAAATTGACGACAATTGACCGGCAATTTGAGCGGACTAATTAAAATTGATAAAAATTGAATAGTTAGGGTATTAAATTGTTAGTTTTAAAAGTTATGAATTGAAATTAACAACACTTCAATATTCATAGGATCAACAGTTAAATTAATTCTATCATTTATTAATCAAATCAACTTTTATTAAGTGTTTATTTTTAACTTTTTATACTCCGTAATAGTTTTTTAAAATCGATTTATGTAATTTTTAAACGCACAAATTAAATATTATAGAATTTGAATTATAAATATTTTTATCAACTTAACATAGATTTTAGCTAGCTTGGCATTGTATGAGGGCGAAAACATTATTAGAGACTTAATAAATCACAAAGCTTAAAATTACAAATTTTAAAATATTTTATTATATTTTTTCAGAAAAAATATACAATATTCGTCATTTAACACTGTTAGTCATTATTTTTATCACATATCAAAATATTCAAATCTTTGTTTTAAATGCGCTCTGTAAGTATTCGTATTGCTATTTATTTATTTATTATTTTTTCTATAGACATTGGAGACTATTTAATCTACTAACATTCATGAAGTATATTTTTATATGCAATTATTGTTGACTTGCATTTTTTTTACTAAAATGCAAATTGTGAAAATTAAAGATTTTAATTTGAGGGAGCTTTTAAGAGGAGTATGCCCCTAAAATTTTGAAGATGAAACATGTAGATGAAGATGAAGGAAGCCACAAAATAATAAAAATAAAGCATAAATAGCAATTGAGATCAATTTTTACTTTGTAATGAAACATCATCTGTGATTTTTTTTTTTTTACATTTAAAAAAAAAAAAGAATACCTACCATGTGTTCAGATGGCATGTAGCGACCTTTCTCATGTGGGAGGTCATGAGATTTGAGCCTTGGAAGCGTTGTTAACTTTATGTGCTCAGGGGGCAGCTGACCTCACCCCTTATGCTATACATATATAGCATGAAATATCATATTAAATCTATATTTATGCTGAAAATATTAATAGTTTGAGTATGTTATGTTTGAACAAATACTACAATGTAATTAATATTTTACTGACTCTATTACATTGTAGTATTTAATCAAACATACTTGCAACCTCCCATCTGGGAGTCCAACCCGATTGCCATTAGACCACAAAGTCTTGGCTAATATAATTAATATTTAAAAATACCATAAATCACAAATCAAACAAAAGAAATTCGACATGTCTCACAGATGAGAATACGATATTAAAAGAGATTTTGTCCAAAAAAAAAAAGAGTTAATTACCGAAATGGTCCCTTGACTATAGCGAAATAATCAATTTGGTCCTTGACTTTTTTTTTTTGACCAATTAAGTCCCTCAACTTTAAAAATCTTAACCAATTTGGTCCTCCGTTAGTCAATCGTTAACTTGGGACCAAATTGGTAATTCGCTATATCAAGGGACCGTTTTGGTAATTAACTTTAAGGGTGGGCAATTTAGTTCAGTTTTCTCGAACCAAACCATACCAAACTAGTTAGATTCGGTAATATACCGAACAACCGAACGATAATAGATTCTTGTATACCAAACGGTTCGGTAAAAACTCGAACCGAATTGAATTGTTCGGTGGTGCTATACACCACGTTGAGAAAGACCAACCTCCTATATACCGTACTCTTTTTGAACCTCGAAAAAAAAATCGAACCGAATTGAATACCATTTGCACTTTGGATTGTTATTTTGTTATATATTAGACTTTGGATATGGACTATGTAAACATCATAACACATAATATAGAACTTTTGATAACAAACCATAAGAAATCAAATAAAATATTTACGAGAGATACCCGTGAGAATATGAGCTGAACGGCAGAGCAAGCAGCAAGGGACTTGGATTTATTATTTATTTATTTATTTATTTATTTATTATTATTATTATTATTATTATTATTATTATTATTATTATTTTTAAAAAAAAAAAATCAAACGGTATTCAGTTTAGTTCAATTTTTTACCGAACAATTCGGATCGATTTTTTATCGAACCGTTCGGTATACAAGAATCCAATACCGTTCCGTTGTTCGGTATATTACCGAACCAAACTAGTTCGGTTCAGTTCGAGAAAATTAAACCGAATTGCCGATCCCTAAAGTTAATTACCAAAATAGTCCCTTGATTATAGCGAAATTATCAATTTGGTCCCCAAGTTAACGGTTGACTAACGGTCAAACAAACGGAGGATCAAATTGATTAAGATTTTTAAAATTGAGAGACTTAATTGATTAAAAAAAATAGTCAAGGATCAAATTGATAATTTCACTATTCAAGGGACCATTTTGGTAATTACCTAAAGAAAAATTATATGGAAACATATTTATCTGTGCTTGATATTATTTCCGCTCACATGGCTTGGCGTGAGTTGGCTCCCTTCTAAGTTTTAATCGCGAGCGCGAGGTGAAAGAAATCAAGATCTCTCGCGCCGGGGAGTAAGCAAGCCGCGATTTCTGGCTGCAATTTGGGCTCGGCGTCGGGTTCTTTGTCTGCATAGAACTGCTACCACAGGTTCGAATATCTTTTGGGATTTCGTCAGCTCTCTTCACCCAAGAAAAAGCTTGCCTGCGCTTCCATTCATCTTCAAGGCAAAGGTAACACGGGAGCCGCTAATTTCTGTGATTCACATTAAGCAATTGCCATACTACTCATTGGATTTGACTGTAATTATATGAGTATTGATATCCCAAGTTTCAAGAATATGAATAGATCGTTTCTTTCTTTGCTAGTAGTTGCTAAATTGGATCTTTTGGTATATTGGTGCTGAGTAATGGTAATGATCAATTTAGCCAACTATGGTATGAACAACTGAACTTTGGGTTTGATTGAAAACCTAAAAAGAATTAAAACTTTGGGGTTTAATTGATGCTTCCTATTATTGTTATGTTGTTTCGTTTGCTAGTACGGAGTATTATTTATTGAAAGCTTTTAAGATAAATTCTAGTGTTATCTTTTACCTATGAAAACAGATTATTTTTATCATTTCATGTTGCCCATAACTTGGACTGTATGCCCAAAGATGTGTAACTGGAAAAGGAATCCTTAAGATATATGATGAAACCCTTTAGGTATGATTTGGGGAGCGCTATTGTTAATTGAGTTTTAATGCTGTAAAGCTGATTTGTTTATTCTCTGTGTCTATGCTTTGGGATAATGCAATCAAAGCTTTGTCTAACATTATAGCACCATATGGGATTTAATCTTATTGATTGTGCAAAACCAATTCTTGCAGTCTATCTTTTACTGCTTTAGCAATGGAGCCCAATATTGATCCTGAAAATACTCTGATGATTGAAGAAAGTGTGGAAATAGATCCAAGAAGAGCACGTTTTCCCTGCTGCATTGTGTGGACACCGCTGCCTGTCATGTCGTGGTTTATCCCTCTTATTGGTCACATTGGAATATGTAGAGAGGATGGAGTTATCTTGGATTTTGCAGGGCCAAATTTTGTGTGCGTAGACAATTTTGCATTTGGAGCACCAGCTCGCTACATTCGGATAAGAAAAGATGAGGTATGTTCTAATGTTTCTAATTAGAAACTTTCCTTAACTGTATGGCAATTCTTATCCTGGGCAAGGCAATTGTTCTTAAATATGTATAGCTCTTGTTGCCCTGCTCCCCGTTTCAACTATGGATTCTATAAAATGGGTGGCTTTAAATTTGTAATAATCCATAATTTGTTTGATTAGGAGGTTTACTGGTTTGCCCATGATGTGTTTTTGACCCCATTTATTTTCTGTTTTTCTTTTCCCAATCTTTGCCTGCAGTGCCGTGTTTCTCGCTATCCTGCTCAATATGAAAGGGAAGATGACCAGAATTACAGTGAAACTGGAAATGATGCTACGACATGGGATGGTGCATTGCACAAGAGCACAGAAGAATTCCAGCACCGATCTTATAACCTTCTCACCTGCAACTGCCACTCATTCGTTGCCAATGCTTTAAACCGGTTGGGCTTCCAGGCTGGGGGGTGGAATGTTGTTAGTTTAGCAGTTTACATCTTACTCAAGGGACAATGGGTTCGCAAAGCCTCCATCTTGCAAACCTATTTACCTTTTCTTATAGTTTTCGGTTTAGGGCTCACCTTCGGGGGAGAGGCTTTCCTAACCTACTGGGCAATCTTCATTGCTGTTCTTGTTGGCTGGTTTCTTATCGGTTCCTACTGTTTCAAGAAGATGATCTATTTGTAGTCGCCCGCTGTTTCCTATCCTACTCAGTCTATATGTAAAACATGTACCGTGATTCTGATATGAAATACAATGGATTTGTTCGACTTCTTTGTGTTTTGATGGCAACATAATCTCTTGTATGATCTCTTCCAGTGTTTCTTCATTTTGAACTGTTACATCTTAGATTCGAGTTCTTGCACCCCTGCATGTGAAAAGAACAAGGCTTTGTTTGAACGTGCAGAATTTTGTTACATCTCTGTCATTTTCCGACGAGATTTCAGGTCACGTCTCTCTTCCCGTTGTTTTCATACTGTCACTATCAGCAACATGGACGTCCATCCATGAACTCCCGAAGCATTTCCTTTCTGCTTTTATTATTATTCTCTGCTAACCCGTCGCTGTATTGCATGCCAGACAATTATTCTTAGCCGTTCGTTCTTGAAGATGCTGGCTGCACTAAACTACAAAGTAAAGGTGCTGTTTTCCTGGAGAAAAGATAACATAGCAAATGCTTTTTATGGAGAACATATAGCTGTTGGTTTCAAAATGGCAGAATAATGGAATCAGATGATGGTGCCTGTGGCATATTCTATTCACCATGCACTAACACTTTTATATACATTTTGTTGTTGACATGAATTTCTGGGTACAAAGGAGAAACGAGCACCAGACGCTATCGATATGAATAGATTCAAGAAAATGACAACATCGTATAAAGGAGGAAAGTGAAATGACGCCACTTCTGCAGAGGCGCCCTTATATAAAGCGAGCTAGAGATGGTGGAGGATATCAGGTTGCATTTCTTGCTTTGTACATTTCTTTCTGTGAAAATTTAGTGCAGAAAGAAACGTACAAAAGAGAAAATGGCAAGAGAGGGAAAAGTCGTCAGCTGTCACACCTTTGAAGCCTGGAACGATGAACTCTGCAGAGGAAACGAAGCGAAAAGATTGGTACATCCTGTTCCTCATCCCTTTCCTTTTTACAATATTCACCGAAAAGCTGAGTTTGAACTCGGTATGAATGTCTAATGCAGATGGTTGTGAACTTCACTGCTTCATGGTGCGGTCCCTGTCGATTGATGGCTCCATTATTTGCAGAGTTTGCAAGGAAGTCACCCAGTGTCATGTTTCTCAGGGTGGATGTGGATGAACTGCCTGTAAGTACACCACTAAAACATCCTTAATTTAGTACCCAGGAAGAGGATAGATTTTTATGGTTTGTTTTGTTTATGCAGTCTGTCACCGCAGATTGGGGCGTAGAGGGAATGCCAACATTCATGTTCTTAAAGGAAGGCAAGATTTTGGACACTGTTGTTGGGGCCAAGAAAGACTTGCAGCAGCTTCTTGCCAAGCACATGACGAACACTACTACTACTAACACTACTACTTATTATTAGATTCGACCTCAAATTGCCCGCACGGGCAACTCAGCTGGTTCCTGGGTGGTGGTAGATAACCACGGTTTGTTATTCTTAGAAAACCCAGAATTCTTACTCCAAATAAAACTTTTTCCTGGGATTCCCTGGATAGTGTTGTTGGTTGAAGATAAATGCCCAGTGCATATAAATATAATGGATCATGTTACTGTTATTCATGTGTAATTTCCAGCAACTAGTAACAGCACAGTAAACTGATATACACAGAACCATCAAAAGAGACACGATCAAATGCATATTTCCATTTCGATTTCAACAAACTGCACAAATGAATGAAAACAACAGATCGGAAGGGCCATGCTAGGATAGGATTCCCCGAGTCGCATAACCTATCGCTCTTATAACAACAATAACAATAACAACAACACAGTGCAACTCGTCCAGCATGCATTTCCGGTTTAAAAGAGGAAATGGACCAGACACAATCGCACGACACAATTCACATTTGGAAACACAACACTCTCGAGACTATGCACTTGCCTAGTATTTCATAGAGGCCCCTTTGGCACCTCTATGTTAACACTAACCTACCTTTCTCACACGCTAAACACTTGGTAGTTGGTACAGTCTTTCACTCGATAATAACTTCATTCATCAATCTAGCTAATGCTATTTTTTTTAGGGTTTTGAGCTTCACACTTTATTCTTCTTTCTGGTATGTAACTTGTGGAATATTTTAGCCATTTGATCTCCTTACCGTCAATGCCATTGGGAAGGGGTGCAGACTGCTTCCACGGTCAATCGCTTCACCACATTTGGGCAGGGATCTCCGAAATTAGTATTTGATATTGCTACCGAGCATCTTTGGCGCCCGATACACTTCTGCAAGAGTTTCAACGACAATCATTATCGATGAGATAGGACAGTGGGTGTTCTGATTAGTAACGAGAGAGATACAAAATCGATTGTTACCTTTTCTAAGACGGAGTACGAGGTAGAAGCATGGCATGGTCCTTGCTGGAAGCTCCCGCAGGTTCCCAGGGGAGTTCCAAAGCTCGCAAACTTGATGGAGGAAATGGATTGACCGGGACTGCAATGAAGGTGGAGTTTTGGTTTGGGCAACTCCTGGGTTCTACCATAGCTCTCGATCTCCCAATTCCTAATGTTTGGATGGATTTCACCGACATCACCACAAACGCTGGACACTGATCTCCTCACAAGAGAAATTCTCGTGGGATCTCCCCCGAGTTCTTCAAAAAGCACCAAAAGATTTTCTGTCGGTTTCAACAAAGACCTTGGCACATGGTACCTGAAACCCGAGCATTTTTAAGTTTCTAGAACAAAGATTCTAGTTCTTCGTATCTTCACAAGAAAATTTCTTTTTGAGCCTTACCATCGTTGAGTTGGCTGACCACAACCAAGCTGGCACTTTGGAGGCTTAAAGGGTCCAGCATAATGGCATCCATTGCAATTACCAGTCGCATAAGCAGTCCAATACCTACCAAGACTCTCACCGTTAATCCATACTTGACCTTTTCCCATGCTACTCATGTCCAAAGCTAAAGGTTCGTCTCCATCAGGTGCGTTGAAACGAGCCTACAAAGTTGACACTTTTATACCACAAAATCTCCATTGCTATTGTCTCTATTCTGATAGAATTTGCTTAATTCATACCTTATGCCATGTTAAAGGCTGCTGTTTCTGTGCAATTAACGAACCCTGCATCCAGTCAACCGAGGATGTGCCATCTGTAGAAACGAGATTCATGGTCTCTCCCTTAAGCCCAACCTGTTGAAAAGGGCAAAAGGCCATTAGAAAAATAAAATTTAAAAAAAAAAAAAAAAAAAAGGTTTCATTTCAGAATACTTCGAACAATGGAAGTTAGCTACGAAAGATAAAAACCTGATAGGTCCATCTTGCCCAGGACAAGTCCAGTTTTCCCTGATCAAGCCCGTGAAGTGCAACTGGACCCAAAATTCCTGTGTTCCATGTTTCAAAATGCCCGCCCACGTTCTTCAAAAACAAACAAAAAATGAAGAAAAGTGAAAAACAATTTAAAAGTTCATTAGCAAGCAAACATAAAGGAAAAAGAACAAAGAATAATAGATGGAAAAGGAAAAGAAAACACTCAATGCAAGTTCCTCGGCTACTTGAACTATGCAAAAATGGAAGTGCTAAAAAGCAGTTAAAAGCAGGAATTGTACTAACCGGCAATCCAACAGCCACACTGAGCAATGCAATTTTATTCGTTCCAGCCCGGAAGTTGACCTTTCCTCTAAACGTGAATCTCCTGTTCTGCCTTGTACCAAATGCAGAACCTGCATAATATACGATGTTTCTTTGATAATTAGCTCAAAGCACAAATCTGCACTATCTACAAACCTTTCAAATTGAGGAGTACCTGAGAGCTGTCCATTGATAAACACATGCAGAGCATGGCCGGTTGACTGCACTATTAGAGTCGGGAGCTCCCCACCACGCAAGAACGACTCAGATGAACCGACATCAACACTGTAATCACAAGAAAACATTCCATCGTTATATCATTCAAAATGCCATTAGCAAAAGATGGTAACTAATTTATCAAATTATTGCTTGCCCAAAAAAGCGAAAATTCCCTCGCCCCCAGGGCCCCACATCCCGGCTCTATAGGATAGTGGAAGGTAAATCGCGGTGACTCAACAACCCATTAGATGGGAGGACCAGTGCCAACAGATTTCATAAATTACAGGCCAACAATCCAACCTCTTGCGTGATAAACACATTGATAATAGTTCCGATGCTAGTCACAAGTCACAACTTACCTAGTTTTATACCATAAATAATCACTCGCATCCCTAGTAACATTGATTTGTTCCAAGAGGCCAAAAGCCGTAAATGATGAACTGTCATCAAATGGAGATAAATCTTCGTTGTAAGTTTCCCACGAGTACATCTCAGAATTAGTTGGTAGCATTTCCATTTGTGACGTCTGAGCTCCAACCTGCACATGGAATCGGAAAGCAATTACAAATTCCTGCGAGAGCCCAAGACGTAAACAAAAGCAACAACCAACTGTAGGGGGAACCGTTAATTCTCCTAAACTGCAACGATCATTAGACTACTATCAAAAATGTTGAGATTAACAAGAACAATAAACAATAATAATGGCAGAAAGTAAAGAAGGCAAGATTTATATGGTTCGGCAATGTTCCTACGTCCACGGGTGATGGTGATACTGGTGATGGGATACAATCAATATATTTATAGGCATCTGATCCCTATACGATATGCTTCACACCTATTCCTTATAGGAGAGAAACTCATATTCATAATCCTATATGAGACAAACTCAACAAAAAATTAGAAAAAAGAAGAGATATCGTAGTAAGTTAACATACTTTGGCTGTGTTGAAGACGACATTCCTGCAGTCTGGAAGGATGCTGATGGACCACGGAGGCAAATTATAGTGCATGTTATTAAACATAACTCTTGCAGCAGATTGTGTGTCGTAGTTTGAGAGAAAAGCTGCACAATCTCCGGTCTCCGAAGAGTATATGTATGCCTGGAATAAGGTCAAACACTAAGTAAAGTGTTGAAAAATAAACTACTGCAGGGAATATAGAATGGCGATCAGAAGCAAAACCTCTTGAAGGCCGCCCAAGGAAGTGACAGTAGGATCTGTTGAAACTAAAGCCTTCTCGCATAGCTTCACAGCCCTGTGAAGCTCCTTCAAATGACCATATTTTGGTTGTCTAATCAAACCTGCAAAACTTTTCAATTGAGAACTATACATTGCATTCAGTAATGATGCATTATTAGCCCGCGTCACATCTAATTAAGGATTGCTAATTGGGATTTTGGGTAAAGGAGCAACCCAGCCAAGTTGGTCGGGGTGTTGGCTTGGTAACTACAAGGTTCCAAGTTTGACTCCCAGTGGAAGCAACCTATTGGCCTTCTTGGTTTAAGCCAGTCAACTATGGGCAACCTAAGTTGGTTTACCTCCTTGTGGTCCTTTGCGGGCCAGGGTCACAAGGCGAGGTTTACCCAGTACACACTCTCGGGTAGTGGTGGCGGTTTCGTTCCCTTGTCACCCAAAAAATAGAATGAAAGCAATGTAGTCCATTCTTACCATACTCATCAAGGGGAGCATCATAGTCGTAGCTAGTAGTGATGAAGGGGCCTCCAGCAGAGCGTCCGAAATTGGTGCCTCCATGGTACTGATAAGGCATGAGCACGAGGGACTCGGTGAGTCAAGTGTCATCATAAAAAACATCGAAACATTCAATGGAGTTCGGTATAAATGAAATGCACTAACCATGTAGTAGTTAACAAATGAACCGCCTTTCTGAATGAATTTAGCTACAGCAAATGCCAAATCCTGAACTGGCCTTTGATGAATGGGGCCACCGAATTCCGTAAACCTTGTGGTACCAAATAGTATAGTTAAATATCGACCAACTTTTTATATCATGAAAACTTAGTAAAGGTGTCAAGACCACATACCAGCCACTCCAAGCTTCGGTCCAAATTGCTGGCTTGTATGGTTTATTGGGGGCGAATTTATCACAGTAGAAACCATTGCATGTGTTTATCTGTTGCCAAAAACAGCAAAAAAATCATGCCACAGTTTACACGTAGAATGGCATTCGAAGTTAAGAATTCAACAAAACAGGAGCCCAGTTCCATATTGTCCTCCAAGAAACCTTATCATCCACAACAGTCAAAGATGCTAAGTGTATCATATGAAACAATAAATGTGATACCGAAAACTTCAGCTCCAACGAGTCTAGGTTTGCTAATAGCTTACCACAGGATCTGGGGCATCTTCTTCTTTGCACATGACCCAGGGGACCCCAGTGTCCATTTCAACTGCCATCTTTGCAGCCCAAGTTACATACTGATGACCCGAGGCGCCAAGTACCTTGGCTTGTGGCCCATATTCATTCTCAATCTGGAAGACCACATTATCATGATATCATCATTTGATAAATAAAATCACATGCTTATGAACTAATCTACTGCTCAAAATTCAAGAACTCTATCAGATTGGGAAAAACAGATGACAACGATAGAAATGCATACCTGGGAGAGTATAATTGGACCACCCTGAGACTCGAATAGATTATGGCTCTTCATCAAATTAACAATTTTCTCAGTAAACCCTTTCATAGCCATCTGTCAGGTCATAAAACAATAAAATTTTCATGAAAAGGGTAAGAAAGATATACCAGAACAGTAGTAAATGTTGTTAAGCTATAAATTATCACAATGTCTTGCTACATTGGTTACGAAATGCTATATAATTGAAAGCAAATGGTAGAGGGAGAAAAGACTGGGAACCCAGACCTTGAAGGGCTCATTGTCTGCTCTGAAGCTAATTCCAGGAACAAACTTCAGCCAAACTGGGAACCCTCTGCACACAAAACATTGAAGTAGTAAAAAAGGTTAAATCTTCTTCAAGGAAGCAGCTTATTGGCCTTCTTGGTTTGAACCAGTGAGCTATGGACAACCTAAACTGGTTTACCACCTTACATTTCTTTGTCGGTTAGGGCTAGGGTCACAAAGCGGGATTTAACCGTAAGTAGTGGTTGCGGGTTTCCTTGTCACCCCAAAAAAAAAAGGTTAAATATTTAAGTGTTCAGTTCTAGTCCGGCAAAATCAGTCCTTGAAAGAGGGTTAAATGTAGATCTAATCATCTAGAGATGAACAAAGAGTAGGGAGGTACCCAAAATTCCACTCTCCACAAATGTAAGGTCCAATGCGAAGATGAGCATAAAGCCCTGCTTTCTGAATTGTCTTCACAAACCTCACCAAGTCATATCTCCCTTCAAAATTGTACTGGAATCCACAGAAAAATTAAAAAAAGATGCAAACTTTAAGATAAAATACAGAACCAAAACACAGACAAGTAACTAAAAAAAGATAGAAATTTCATGTACATTGCCAGGAGAAGGCTCGTGCACATTCCAGAACACATAGGTCTCAATCACATCCACGCCTCCTTCTTTAGCCTTGCTTATTAGATCTTCCCACATCTACACACATTATATGAATACATTTTAGCAACAAACAAAATAGAAATCTGTAGTGTGAGAAGAGAAAAAGGAGAAGACAGTACCTCCGGGGTGCTTCTTGGGTAGTGAATAGACCCAGAGAAAAGTACTCTTCTTTGCCCATTGATAACAATGGCCTTCCTATCATAGCTAACACTGCACTGAGTCAACCCAGAACTCAGAAAGAACACCATGCACAGCACCAAAACCCATTTCCTCATGGCTCCACCTCTCAATTTCTCCCTCAAAGCAAGCTCTTGGGATCACTTAAACAATTAGATGAACACATACAAAAAAAGAAGGAAAATTTTTTTTTCTGGGTGGAGGGAAATTTGAAAGCTAGTAAAGGATCTTGACACTGCAAAGTCTGCAAATACAAAATCAGAGAGAGAATGTGTGGTGTATGTGAAGTGCGGAAAGTGCCAATTCCCACTTTGGGCAGCACCACACAAAGTACTGTGCACTGTGCAGCGGAGCTAAAAGACCAAGATGAGCAAGTTAGCAGAAGTGTGTTTCCATGTCAATCCGCATATTATATATATATAAATGTAATATCCGATCATTATATATTAGTCTGTATTTTTTTAGATATACGGAGTATATGTACATCCGTATGCATATACATGTGGACAGTTGTAATTCCTGTGACCGAGAGACAGCCATTAGCGCGTGACACTGAGCTCAACACTCAAAAAGAAAGTTGAAATCCCACTACAACCAAAAAAACAAGAAAAGATAAAAAATTTGTTGAAAATAAGAAAAAGAGACAATAAAGAATGGTTTCTTTTACCACGATCTCTAAATAGGATTATTTTTACATAGTAATACTGGTTATACTGCGCTTTCTTTAAACAAAGCAAATCTCCATTTTAGTCTCTTAATGAGTTAAATTTCAAGTAAAAAGTCTCAACTTTTGTTAGTTTCGAAATTTACGTACTGGAAATTATTATATGTATTGATGTTTTTTTTTTGTTTTGTTTTTATTATTATTATTATTTGTATTGATGTATTGATGCATGTGAAATTGTGAATGGAAGAAGCTTCGGCGGTAATAAATTTATGTAACGTGGAGTGGGATGTGAGTAATGTCTCATGTACGGGTTGGTTTGTCATTTGTGGACGCATTAAAGAGAGAGTTGGAGGAATTTTGGGGCCAATATATAATTGTGCCATTGTGGTGGGGCGTTTCATTTATCTTTTGTCCGCTGATTTTTTTTTTAATTTTTTTTTTACACTAATTTTGTTAGTTTAGGTTATACTAATTTAAGTCCTCTTGAATCTCTGTCTAAGGGCACTGAATGAGATAAATTGTGAGTTATTCAATCAATTTTTAGTTTTCATCCTTGTAGATGCACTTTGTGCACAAAAAATAGTCATCATTAGGGCTGTGCAGTCGGCCGGATCGGACGGTTCGGATGCCGGAAATACTCTCCCGGTCGGATATCGGAATTCAAGTTTGACTACCCTATCCGTTTTTTTTTTTGTTGACTTATCCGTTCGATTATTTTTATTTTCGGATGGGATCGGATCGGTCGGATATCCGATTGGTAATTCGGTTTTATAAGAACGTACAAATCAAATATTCAATTCATGGAACACCTAACTAAGGAACTACTTAAGTACTAAAAGCCACTAACTCGTAATTATTAACTACTTAACAGCAAACATAACATAAGTAAACTTATAAAACTGTAAACATATAATCAAATTAACAAAATTACAAGTTAGAACTTAGAAGCTAGTACTGAAAGTCTGAAACTTCAAAACATACAAATTTACAGCAGATTAGCTTACAACTTACAAGTTACAAATTTAAAACTTGTAATGAGAATTTTAATTCTTCATAGCAAATTAGCAAAATATAACAATCTTCTCCAAACTCCAAGGCAAGCAGGCAAGCATGCAACAGCATCAGTCTCCAATCAGCACATCAGCATTCAGCATTGAGCAAAAGAAAGCCAGAAATCCAAAAGACCCAAACTCCAAAAGTAATATATGAATATATGATTAATATAATATAGAGTACTCTATGTCTCTATTACTCTATTCTTCTTCCTGATAAGTGAACACATAAAAACACAATAAGTTCAAAACATTTCAAGTTAGGATTGACACAAACTGTAAAAGACTAAAAGAGTGCTCAGATCGCTTTTTTTCCATATCAAGTTAGGATTTGGGACACACTACTCAATGAGTATGGCATACACCGGCAACATACCAAACCCAATACTATATATTCAGAGAACATGGTGGAAGCATCATCATTGCACAATAATGAACAGTTATACAATTATAATTATAGTGAGTCAGAAGTCAGAAGTCACATTTAGACATTTAGTCAGTACTTATACTGATACCTGAGCTCAATGGCAGCAACATTTAAAATGTTACCTAGCCATGAGCACTTTCCAGTTCCAGTTCCAACTTCCCAGCCTCATGAGGGACATTGATTTGAATCATTGATACACATACATGATACACTGATACAGAGGCATAAATTTATCATGAAATCAAATAAGTAATCACAAATTCAGATTTCAAAATAAATTAATGGAAACTGTAAACATACAACAATTGTAGGCATTCCAGTTCCAGTGCTGGATGTGCTGCACAACTCTGCAGTACAAATACAAAATGGAAATTAAAACTTAAACAATTAAACATTTAAACAGATACAAAATGGTAGTTAGAAGTATATACCTTTCTCAATCCTTTCAACATCATCAATATTTTCTTCAATTGAGATTGGTTGATTGGTTAACCTTAACCAATCCTGTGCACACACCAATGCCTCAACAATTCTAGGAGTTAGGGAACTCCTAAAGGCATCAAGTACCCTTCCACTTGTACTGAATGCTGATTCTGAAGCAACAGTTGATATTGGAACAGCTAGAATATCCCTTGCCATTTTAGATAAGACAGGGAACCTTTCAGGTTGCTGCTTCCACCATCTTAGAAGGTCAAATGAATCATCCTCATCCACAATAACCTCAGAGAGATACACTTCCAACTCAATTTTTTTCCTAGACAAATCCCCACTCACCAATTTTTGCTTCTTAATATGAGATTTCAGTAATGATTGAGGTCTCCCAACAGAAACAGAATAAGATATTGTTATTGAGGGAGAAGATTTGTCAGATTGTTCAACAGACTGGACAGGGAAGCATGCAACATAATCTTCAAACAACTCCTTAAGGCCAACAATAACCTTATCAAACACTGTTTTACCCTTGTCCTCACCATATAACTGGTTGAACTGAATGGGCATATACTCAATTTTGTCCCTGGGGTCTAAGATATTGCCATAGAATATCAAAAAATTCATTTTTTTTCAGGCTCACCCCAATACTTATCAAATTTTGCCCTCATATTTTTACCCATCAGTTTAACACTATCTTCTGTAGCTTCCTCCATATTTTTCAACAAGCAAGACAAATCAGAAATCTCATAAAAGAAGGTATTAGAAGTCACATACAATGATCCAGAAATCCTAACAGTCATTTCATAAAAAAAGATTTCAGAATCATAACCAAAGATTGAATGGATTCCCAATCTAAGAAACCAGGTACACTTCCACCCAAATCAGATTTAAATGAACTGTCATGATCATCATAGGCTTCAAATACCTTCTGAAACAATAATGCAGTATTAAGCATCATATATGTGGAATTCCACCTTGTAGGGACATCTAGACACAGAGAATTCTTAGCTTCCACCCCAATTAGATCAGCTAGTGATTTAAACTTCTGCAACCTAGCAGGTGAACTCCTCACATACCTAACAGCATCCCTGACTTTCTTAACAGAACTGTCACATTCTTTCAACCCATCCTGTACCACCAAGTTAAGAATGTGAGCAATGCACCTCATGTGTGAATACTTACACCTAACAGCAGTACAACCCCAAGAGCCCAACTTCTTCTTCAAGAATCCTAGGGCAGTGTCATTGCTGGAAGCATTATCTACTGTCACACTAAACACTGATTTTAGACCCCAGTCCAAAAGGCAACTCTCTAAAGCCTTTGCAATACTTTCCCCCTTGTGGGAATATATAGGAACAAATGAAATAATCTTCTTTTGCAGCTTCCACTCACTATCAATGAAATGTGCAGTTATGCACATGTAGTTTATTCTTTAGACTGAGGTCCAAGTATCAGTTGTGATACTTACCCTCTAACTGCTAGTCCTAAAAAACTTCTTCAAGTTGACCCTCTCATTAGAAAATATCTTGAAAATGTCCCTACTGATAGTCCATCTTGAATGGATTTTAAACCTAGGACAGCAAACTAAAACAAACTTTCTAAAACCCTGTCCCTCAACAATCCTAAAAGGAAGTTCATCTAAAATAATCATCTCAGCTAAGGCTCTCCTTATCAAGTCTTGATCAAACACCCAAGTACCCAACACCCCTTCAGTTCCTTCACTACTTTGAGTTCCAGTAGAAGAAGGTGCAGGTTGGAATGTAAGTAGGGACTGCTTTGTCTCCTTAGAGTGAGGATTTTTAAGGCAGTTTACCACATGAAGTCGGAGTGAAGAAGTCCCATGTTTCTTGGTCTCACAGCAATACACTTTTGCACAATATATACATTTTCCTTTTATGACAATGCCATCACTGTCTTTAATCTTTTCAAAGTGATCCCAACATGGAGCCCTGGATTCAACCTCTTTCATTTTCTTTGGAACAGGTGGAGGCAAAGGCTGCTGAGACTGAGGAGTAACAGTCTCTACAGCTTGTGCTTCCAACTCAGGTTGGGTTCCAGATACACCAGTAACACCACTAACACTTTCCATCTAAAAAGGGGAAAGTATCAGTGACACAGAATGGGAAATCACTCATTCAAAATCATCAACAGAGAATGGGCTTTGTCACATGTATCAATTGATTAAAGTGTTAAACAGGCAGAATTCAGGCAATTGAATATTTCATCATGTATGCAGAATTGCACATAAATGATTTAAGGGTCACATATCCATAAACTTACAATTTCATATTTACAAATTACAACTTACAAATTACAATTTACAATGAAATCCATAATCAGGCATTCAAGCTAAGTAGATGTATGCTACTTTATATGCTCATCATTTATATGGATTTCAGTCACACATGAGTACAAGACACACTCCCACATTTATATAGCTTCCACAACAATACCATCATGCTTAACATTTATATGGATTTCAGTATTTCACACACAGTTCCTGAGTTCTACACTTCCACAGTGGCAAGGGGCTAGGGCAGTATGGCTTCCACCACAGATTAGGTTACAAATTAGAAACCCTAATCAAACAATTCACAAATTCACACTCAAAGAACTACTGACATGCAATCCGGAACTTCTCAGTGGATTTACAAGTATCATAGTCCAGTGAGTCCACAGATTAGGTTACAAATTAGAAACCCTAATCACACAATTCACAAATTCACATTCAAAGGACTAGTGACATGCAATCCGGAACTTCTCAACGGATTTACAAGTATCATAGTCCAGTGAGTCCACATATTAGGTTACAAATTAGAAA